ACCTCCTCCCCCCCTCCCCAGCCTTCACCACACCGTTGTCTGTTACCATGGGCTATGTATATATATTTTCTTTGACTAATCTCTTCACCTTCCTTTATCCAGTCTCTCACCCTCCCTCTTCGATGACATCCTTCAGTCTGTCCCAATGCTTCCATGCCTGTCTCTATTTTGTTCGTTGGTTTATTTTGCTCATTAGATTCCACTTATAAGTGAGATCATATGGTATTTGTCTTTCTATCACTGGCTTATTTCATTTAGCATAATAATCTCCAGGTCCATCCATGCTGTCACAAAGGGTAAGAGCTCTTTCTTTTTCACAGCTGTGTAGTATTCCATTGTGTAAATGTACTGCAGTTTTTTATCCACTCAACTGCTGATGGGCACTTGGGTTGTTTCCAGATCTTGGCTATTGTAAATAGTGCTGCTATGAAAATAGGGGTGCATATATTTTTTTCTGATTGGTGTTTCAGGATTCTTAGGATATATTCCCAGGAGTGGGATAACTGGGTCAAAAGGCAGTTCCATTTTTAATTTTTTGAGGAAACTACATAGTTTTTTCCACAGTAACTGCACCATTCTGCGTTCTCACCAACAGTGCACTAAGGTTCCCTTTTCTACGTGTCCTCACCAGCACTTGTTGTTTGTTGATTTATTGATATTAGCCATTCTGGCAGGTGTGAGGCAATACCTCATTGTAGTTTTATTTTGCACCTCTCTGATAATTAGTGATGTTGAACATTTTTCATATGTCTCTTGGCCATCTGTATGTCCCCTTTAGAGAACTGAATATTCAGGTGCTTTGCCCATTTTTTAATTGGGTTGCTTGTCTTCCTGGTGTTGAGTAGACAAATTCTTTATATGTTTTGTAAATTAACCCATTACCAGATGTATCACTGGCAAATATGTTCTCCCATAGAGTAGGACTCCTTTTCATTTTGATAATGTTTTCTTTTGCTGTGCAGAAGCTTTTTAGTTTGATGTAGTCTACTGTTTATTTTTTTCTTTGTTTCCATTGCCCTAGGACATGTATCAGCAAAAATATTACTATGAGGGATGTCTGAGACTTTACTGCCTATGTTTTCTTCTAGGATTCTTATGGCTTTGTGACTTACTTTTAAGTCTTTTATCCATTTTAAGTTTATTCTTGTATATGGTAATTTGGTGGTCATTTTTTCTGTTTTGTTTTGTTGTTTTTTTGCATGTACCTGTCCAATTTACCCAAGACCATTTATTGAAGAGAATGTTTTTACACTATTGTGTGCTCTTGCCTCCTTTGTCAAATATTAATTTATTATAAAGGCATAAGTTGATTTCTGGGTTTCTTGTTCTGTTCCATTGATCTATATGCCTGTTCTTGTGCCAGTACCAGGCCTTGTTTTTATTACAATGGCTTTGTAGTACAGTTTGATATCTGTCATTGGGGTTACCTCCAACTTTGTTCTTTCTCAAGAC